CAATGTTAGCTGTAGTTTGGTATGATCCACACAATCAAATGCCTTTACATAAATGAAACACACATAAACAACTTTCTGGTATCCTCTACTTTCAGCCAAGATCAATCTAACATCAGCAATGATTTCCCTGGTACTACAGCCTCTTCTATATCCAGCTTGAACTTCTGGAAGTTCTCTTTCAATGTACTTTTATAGCAGTTTTTGGATATCCTCAGCAGTATTTTGCTTACATTTGGTATTAATTACATTGTTCTGTAATTTCCACATTCTGTCTGATATCCTTTCTTGGGAATGGGAAAAAATACCAATCTCTTCCAGACAGTTGGCCAGGTAGCTGTCTTCCAAATATACGTTCCATCAAAATGCTTGTCAAAAAACCAAAACTCATTGTCATTAAGCCCAAAGGACACACAGCTGACCCTTCAACAAGTTTCCAAAGCTGTAACTGGCAAGGGAGGAGACCGTTCATCTGTCTCCAGTGAAGCTGCTGGTGGAGACTAGCCTTTGAATTAGCAGCACAACTTTCTACCACCTAGAATAACAGAACTCCCTTAGGGTTTTTGTTTTTTGGTGTTTTTTTTAAATGCTGTTGTGTGGTGTGTGTGGTACACTGAAGAGCAAGAACCGACCCATAGCTGACTGCCCATCCTTCTCGGAGGATCAACTGGTAGCCCCAATCATGTGCCTTTGGGACAGCAGCACAGCTTCTCGCCACTAGAGCTCCCTAAGTGTTGTTGTTGTTGTGTTGTTATGTGCCGTCGAGTCGCTTGCGACTCATAGTGACCCTATGTACAACAGCCCTAAACTCTGCCCTGTCCTGTGCCAATCGCACTGTCTCTGACACTCCCATCCCAATTATCCCAGTCACTGTTAGTAAGTGCCAAATTAATTGGTATTAAATCTTTTTAAAACCTCTATAATAGCTTTTAACTACTAACAGAAAAAATATAAACACTTCTGGGTGTGTGTGGGTTTCAAACACTTTCTATTTTCTGTTTCTAAACACAAATCCTGTTCTATATTGAAAAATGATTAGATTTTATTATTTCCTTCCATATCTACCATTATCAACTATATTGTGGAAGCTTTAGCCTCACTAATCTCACAGTTTGCTGTTGTGAAATTTTACACATATAAATTTTCTTCTAATTTTCAAGGGCTTTCTTTCCTAAAAAGAGCCATATTACAACTGCACAAGATAAAATGAGTAGTATGGTTGAAAGTAGAGGGAAGTTTGAGTAGATAAGATTTATTTGCAATGCAAGGAATTTAGAATCCAATTTTATAAGAATGGGTAAAATTACCCAAATCTAAAAAATCTTTTTTTCTTATTATCTTTTAATCTACTTTGCATAAAGGTCTTTATCATGAAATATCAATAAACTTAGCCTTTCCAAAAGACATGAAGGTTCACGAAAGACGTCTAGATTATTTTTCACTTCTTATTTTTTGAGAAATAGAAATTACATAAAATTATAGGACAGGATGATGTTGTTGTTGTTAAGTGCTGTTGAGTCATAGGCAACTCATAAGCTACCCTATGAATGAAAAACCAGAACATTTGTATAACTTTCATCATTTCTCCAAGTTCACAGTTTGCAGAGGTAAGCTATCTCGGAAATGGATGCCACTCCTGCTTCTAAGCTTGTTTTAATCAGGGAGCTCCACCAAACACTCTCCACCACGGTTAACCATTATCGCATTTGACACATCAGAGCCACTTGCTGGACAGAGGTAACTCATGGTTCCTGTGAAGCTGAACACTGTGCTTATTAAAGCTATCTCATTTAATCTTCACAAAAATTAAATTAAAGGGAAAACTCTTATCATTGCCATTTTACATACAACAAGAATACAGGAAACTAGTGACATTAAATCCAGGAGATGGTTGATTGTAGACAGAATTATAGGGTAATGGTGAAGATGCTAAAAAAAAAAGAAAGAAAGAAAAATTTAAGACATAAACTGAAAGTAGAATAGAAAGAACCTGGATATGGTATGAATATATGGAATGAAAGAAAAGTCAAGAATAACTTTCATGTTTCTGATCTGCAAATGGATAAATAAATATTCCACTTAATGAAATGGGATACTTGAGGGTAAAAATCTTGAGTGTGGAAGAAATGACATTCATAAGAAAAGATTGGAGGTTCTGTAGGGAACTGCACTGCTAACGCACATGTGGGACTTCTCTGGTGGTTGGACTCCACCAGTGGTTCGGAAGGAGAAAGACGGGCAAGTTCCTCCCATGTGATTTACAGCCTGCAGAAATCCTGCTGGATGTTCAGTTAGGAGTTCATTCTAACTCAACAGCAAAGAACGACGTGGGTTATTGAGAGATGAAGTTTAAAACAAAAAGAAATGGGTTGTTTTTAGGTGCTGCTGAGTAAGACTCACAGCGACCTTATCTGAACCCTGTCCTATCCTGTGCCATCCTCATCATCTCTAACATACTTGAGCCTGTTGCTATGGTCACTGTGTCAATCCACCTGGCTGATGATCTTCCTCTCTTTCACTGAACCTCCACCTTTCCAAGCATGCTATCCCTTCAAAAGAAGTTTTTCCTAGTACATGCCCAAAGTATGTGAGACAAACCTTTGTCTTCTTTGGCTCTAAAGAGCATGAAAAGTATCAATGTACAGATAGAATTCAAAGTTTAAAGAGTGAAAATAAGTAAAAAGAGTACTGAATTCCAAATATCCAAAATACAAACACCCCATTTCACTAAGATCATTTGTTTTGCAGATTGCATTCAATTTTACCTTTCAGAATTCATCAATATTGATGACATCTTTTGTTAAATGATAAGAATTTCTTAATGTTCCACCATAGGTCCTCTTTTTTTTATTTTATTTTATTTTATTTTTCTCTTTTCTAACACTACATGTAATTTCATTTAGAAAAAAAAGGGGGGGCTTTGCTGGCACAGTTTAAGTGCTCATCTACTATCTGAAGGGTCTGCAGTTTCACTAACAATTGAAGCAGACTTGACAGAAATAGGTTTGGTTTGTTTTTCCTGTGGGTAGGTGGCGGGTGGTGGGTGCTATTTCACCCACATCCAGTTTCCGTTACTACCAATGCGGCTCACTGTACACATCAATCTTCAGTCCAGAATTCTCTGAGCTCCAACAGTATTTCCGGCATCCCCTTTTTACATCACTCCTCCAGTTACAGACTAGTCAAGCATTGGTAATTTGTTAATTCTAACTCTTTCTAGGCTGTGACTTTTAAAAAGCTGATCACCAAAGTTGTTTTCCAAGGTGCCTTTGAGTTACCAGCCTTTCAGATGGTAGTCAAGCACTTAGGTGACTGTGGTCCCAGGGACTCCTGGGTATCATCCCCCTGCCATCATATTCACTCCAACCCACAGCAACCCAGGAAGACAGAAATGAACTGCCCCATCGATTTCCAACCAAACCAAACTCGGCTGCGCTAAGTTGACTCCAACTTACACTGACTTCCATCAGGGTGTCAAGGTTGTAGGAAAGTAGATGGCCTCACTTTTCCCCCTCTTGGATCAGCTGGTGGATTTGAACCCAGTAATCCTTAAGATACCAGTCTTTAACCCACTCCACTTCTTCCCCAAAATAGGAATTCGTGGAGCTGAAATTTTAAGAATACCACAAAATCAAAGAGCCCTGGTAGTGTAAAAGTTAAGCGCTTGGCTGGTAACCACAAGGTGAGTCCAGAGGCTGCAAAAGAAAAGACCTGGTGATCAGCTTCTATAAAGACTACATACTCCCCAAAAAAGAATCCAATCAAGCCACCCATCAGGCAGTTCCACTCCGCAACGCACAGAATCACTGAGTGGAAATAGACTGGAGGGCACTAAACTATCACAAAACCCAACGAACAGGACTCTGTCTCAAATACCACTTCCTTTCACGGTTCATAACCTAAAACAGGTAAATCCTGACCACCTGAGCTGATGGCTAGCGATGGGATACAACCACATAAAAAGAAAATTTATGTCTTTGGCGAATAGTTAAGAGAAAGAAGGTGAAGTATGGTCCAGGTTGTCCAAGACCCTGTAGGCTGCGCTGCAACGCAAGTCACCTGGATGGGCAGGCCTCATTGAGGGGCAAGGGGCAGGGGGCAGTTTGGAATAGCGGAGAAAACGAGTGACATCTAGGGCAAAGCAAAAGGAAAGCCTGATGGTGGGGGACTGGGGAGGAGACCCAAGAAGAGAACCCGTAAGGGCGGGGAGCTTCGAGGGTTTGGGGGCGGGTTCAGGAGCAGCGGGAGAACTCCGAAAGAGTGAACGCCGAGTGGGCGGACCGCGCGGGGAGGAGGGGGAAACGGCTCATTCGAGTAGCTCGCCGGGCCCGCCTTACCAGTGTCTGCGAGTCCAAAGCCCCGGAACAGCCTGTTGGAAGGACAGAGTCCTCTCAGAGGGGAACGAAGCACGGGTAAGGACACGGAGCCGGTCGCCGAACAGCGCGGCCGCTCACTCCCCCAGTTAGGGAGAGCAGCTGATGGCGGGAACTGTGACCACACGCAAACACGCACGCACGCACGCACACTCGACGCGACCAAACTAGGCGCGTGCGCGGAAGCCTCTGGCCCCGCCTTTCTACACCCTCGCCCCGCCCCATCCACTAGGGACGCTCTGCGCAGAAGCCCCGCCCCTGCCCTGACTGCAGTACCCATGCGCACTGCCCATTGCATCCACTTTCGAGTTCCTGCCATTTCCCTCCCGCTGAATCCTTTCCGGGCATGCGCAAACCGTCCTCGCGGTGACTGCTTGGCTTTTCCCGCCCTTCACGAGCTTCCGAAGGAGGGTCAGAGTTCACGGCCCTAAGATACCTCTTCAATGCCGAGGATAGGGAAGCTAGAAACTCGCAGACATCCTTCTCTTCTTAATCATTAAAGGCAAAAAAGTCTCTACTCCAGCGCTGTTAACTCGGCCGAGGCAGGAAGAGATTGCGTGGGCGGGGCCAGGGGTGAGAGGTCAGAGGGCTGCGAAGGGGGCGGAGCGAGGCGGATGGCGGCAGCGGCGGCTCACCATCTTCCGCGGCAGCGGTGCTGAAGGAGGGACGCGGATCGGCGCGTCCGGTGGCGGGAGGAGAGCGGCATCCTCTCCCATCATGCACAGCCTAGCAACGGCCGCGGTGAGTGTCCAGGCCGCCCGGCCCGGGCCTGCAGTACCTCCGTCTACCCTGCGTGTTGGTGTCCTCCCGCAGCCCCGTGTGGACGCCGCGTCCAGCGGCGCTGGGCCCCCTCGCGTTGCTCCCCGCCGCGCCTCGGCTTGCTTGGGGCGGGCCGGCCTTCGCTCTCCTCGGCGGCCGCCCCTCGCGGCCTCCTGCGCGGCGCCCCGGGTTCTTCTCGGCCCTGGGGCCTAGTCCGTCTCCCGCGGCACCTCCCTCGCGGCCCGGGGCCGGCCATTCATTGAGTCTCTTCGCACACCAACCAGCGTGGAGCGCCGGCTGCATGCGGGGCGCCGGCGGGGCTCGGGCTGCCCCGTGGTCCTGGAGGCGCCCGGGGCTCGCGGATCGGGGCTCGCGATCGTACTCCCTAACGCAGCGGGGTGGAAATGGCTTCTTGGGTCTGGAAGCACCGGCCTTCCTGCTGGAGAACCTGAGTCCCAGAGCAGCGTGTAGTGTCGCTTCCGGCGGAGTGTCTGCTGCTCCCTCCGGGCTTTCCCATCGTGGTCTTTTCCCAGGGAAAGCGGATGATCGGATGATCGTGTATGCATCCACTTCTCTGCAGTCTTTCTGGGGCTCCTCGTTGCGTTTAGGGGGGACCAGATTCCTTGCCGTGGATGGCGTGCAGGGCCCCGTGTGCGGGGTCCTTCCCGCGTCTTCAGCCTCGTCCCTGTCACTTGGCTTCCTGCGCTTCCGCCCCACCTGCCGCCTTTCTCATCCGCGGACTTCTTTTCACTCAAGTTCTGTCTTGGCACAGGGCCTCTTCGTAGCTCGTCTGTGCGCCTCTCCGACATACGTAGTTGTCACAGGCCCCTCTTGGCTCCGATCACGCCTAGTCCGGCTTAGGGGGGGGTGGCCGTGCTTGACCACGCGACTCCGTGGCCCATGTGTGGGGTGCTCTTCATAGCACCGGTGCATCACCTGTCGTGGATTTTACCTGCTTGATGCCCTTTCCCTTGAGAATCCAGGAGCTGAGGTCATGTGGTCCCCAAGTACCAGGACCGTTTCTAGTGCCTGTAGACTTTGTTGAGTAAAGCACTATAAATGCAGCTGGTGACTTCTGAGGGCTATAATAGGGGGGAAAGGGCTACTTTCATTTCAGTAACCTCTTCTGTTCACCAAGGAGAAGTGACTTAAGGAGATAAAAATGAGCCGAAATTGCGTTGTTAGACAAAATGAGTAAATGGAGCACGTGCACACAAAATTGCCTTAATAGTATAATGTAAATGTTAAAAGTGAGCTTAACATGAAGGTGCCCCTAAGGTTGTATTGGAACCTCCACGTCTTGTGCACCGAAAGGGACTCATCGCTGACCCTCCAGCAGGCTTACAGAGACAGGGAATCACACTGGAGGAGATTGCCTATCCAGATCTTGCAGGGTCAGTTGGTGGATTCAAACCCCATGTCTTTGGCTCAGCAGCACAACTCCATACCCAAGAGGCCACCAGAGCTCCTTTACCCACTTAGCCCACAGAGAATAATCTTTTCTCATCACTTGCAAGATCAGTGGTCTCTCTGCCTTTTGCCACTGTTTCTAAATGTAGTTATTCAGAGTTGAAGGGTACTTTTAATAGCCTTTCATTTGATGGCAGTTCCTCTATCTTTGCTTTTTTTATTATTAGTTTTAATGAAAGTTTACAGACTGGATTTCCATTCATTCATTGTTGCAGTTTTCTCCCTGCACATCCCTTCCCCCCCTAGTTCGCTCTTCTCTTTGAAAAGTAAAAGAAAAATTCTTTCATTGTTTTACAGTCCCCCCAAGTCCAGTCCACTAAACAGCCTTCGTTCTTGACTCCTGTTGTGACAATAATACCTTATCATATATCCCTTTTAAACAGTTCTCTCCCTCATCTGTTTCAACCCAGTATACATAATTTATCCCACCCCGATGGTAGTCCCATTTTACGACAGTGGCACTATGCAGTATTTGTCCTTTTGTGACTGAGATATTTCACTCAGCATACTGTCTTCCAGGGTCATACATTTTTAATAATATTTCATGAATTCCTTGTTTCTCAATGTAGCATAGTATTCCATTGTGTGAATGTACCAGAGCGTCTCTTTCCATTCGTTTGTTGATGGGCGCTTAGGTTGTTTCCAGCTGTTTGCCATTGAACAAAGCCACAATAAAACATGGATGTGCCTCTAGCTTTTTTTTATTTCTTCCCAAATTTTGAGAAGGACCAGGTTGCAAGATAAAGGTGCTGCTGATGAGGAAGAGACAGTTAAACTGAATTTCCTTAGAAAAAGGTTTTCTCCAAGATTGCTTTTTCTCTCTCAAAATTTTTGTCGTCTCTAGGATTTGAATACCACCTATTCTCTAATTTTCAGTAATGCATCTTTTCAACAGCTAGCGAAGCTGTAGTACATTAATGATAACTACTCAATACAGATTTCTTCAGTTACATTTACATTGACTTATGCTTACTTAAAAATTTAAATTTCTACTTAAATCTATACCTGTTGCATTTTTTTAGACATGGAGCAGCTCTGCTGAATTCATTTGTACTACTCATCCACTAAGATACTTGATTGATGAAAAGAATGAGGCTTAGAAAAATTGAGTCACCTCTTTCCCACTTGTTCTTTTCTTCCATTGGATAAAACTAAGAATTCTAGTCTGGATAAAAGGACAGTAATGATGGTGATCTCCCACTGGAAGATGGGAAGATTTAGCCGTATGTACAAAGTTTCTCTCTATAATTAATCTTAGTCCCTTGGGAAGATCCTTACATTTTGCCAGTAATAAAAATTTATGTTTGCCTTCACCGTACTATTTTTTTTTCCTTCCTGAAGAACCAAGTAAGTCGTCTTCTGCTAGGGAGATAAAAAAGAACTGTTAAAAGAGAATGAGCTCTGGTGGATAAGAGGTAGACAGTTGCACTGACACGGTTTGAATCTACCAGCTGCTCCATGGGAGAAAGATGGACAGTCTCATCCTGTACTATTAACTGCCTCTAAAAACCCATGCTATAAGTGCATTCTAATATGACAGTGAATAACAACAAAGGAGAACATGAGCACATGTGTCTTCAGACTGTTATTTATTAAAGGGAGAAGTTGGAATCATTTGGGATAATTCTTAAATATAGACTCCAGTGTTTATTATGCTGAAACTGCAGTAGATGAGGAGCCTTGATTAAGTAATGGTTAATTGCTTGACTTATAACTGAAAGGTCAGCAAGTCAAGCTCACCAGCCACTTCACAGGAGAAAGATGCAAACCCACTAGCCACTTCACAAGAGAGATAAGGCTTTCATAAGAATGACAGCCTTGGAAATTCTGAGGCAGTTCTGCTCTGTTCTGGGGGTTCACTGTGAATAATTTAACTTGTTTGGTTTTGACTTACCATTCTTGAGAGAATACATACTAACAATTTCCCTATTGCCACCATAGAATAGAATTGCTTCTTTTCCCTTATTTATAACAAGAACAGTAAAACCACAGCAGATTACTCTAAAGATTAACAATTTGGTGGTTTCATGGGTTTGATCAGTGGTTCAGTGATTTACTCTCAAGCTGAATTCCGTTTTGGGACCTGCCTCAACAGAGTTTAGGCTTGCTTTGTTAGGATCTTGATGGTGGCTTCAGATTTAAATAATGGCAAATGTTATGGTTGTCGTGGTGGTGGTGGTTGTTGGGTGCTGTCCAGTCACCTACAACTCATAGCAACCCCATGAATAAAATACCTGAACCTTGCCCTATCCTGCACCATCCTCATGATCTCATTCTTGCTCAAGTCCGTTATGGTCACTGTGTCTGTCCACCTGGTTAACTGTCTTCTTCCTTTCAAGCTGACCTTGTACCTTTCCTAGCATGATGTCTCTCTCCAAGGACTGATTTCTCCTGAAAATATGCACAAAGTGAAATGAGGTTTCACTATTCTTGCCTCTAAGGAGCATTCTGGTTGTACTTCGTTAAAGACAGATTTGCTCTTCTGACAGTCCATGGTATTTTCAGTTATCTTTCAATATCACAATTCAGAGGCATCAGTTTTTCTGTTATCCTTATTCGTCATCCAGCTTGGATCAGGCACATCTTAAACTGACATGCTTGCTCTTTAAAACTTTGGAGAGGTCCTTAACAGCACATTTCCCCAGTGCAGCACTTCATTTGGTATCTTGACTGCTGCCCTTGTCAGTGTTCTTTTCTCCATCTATCATCATGTTGCCGATGGGTCTGGTGGTTAAGATTTTCATTTCCATGATACAACTCCTATTGAAAGCTGTAGTTGATCTTTTGAAGGAAGTGCTTCCAGTCTACTTTCTGAAAGTAAGTTGTTTCATCTCTACAGTGCAGGTTGTTAATGAGTCTTTCTTCAATTCTAATACCACATTTTCGAGATAGTCCACCTTCCTGAATGATTTGTTCAAATGTTATATAATAATAATCGGAAGAAGCCTAATGTAAACTTTTAGACTATACACTGGGTTAACTTCTTTTTTTCCTTCTTAAATTTCTCCATAGTTATCAGGCACCCTTAAGCCATTATGTTTCCTTCGCTTTCCTGCTGGTCATTTTATATACTTTAGGTGAACTTGTGATAGACTCCTAGAAGTTTTTTTTGAACACTGACTCCAAAAGGTTGCCTCCAGTGTCTCCATTGAAGCTTTAAGCAATTTGCTTAGCTTTTTCCTTGTTCACATCCTGTTTCCAAAAGTGCTATGGCCATTATTTTACAAAGATGTGTGGATAATTAATTTAATTCCGTTCTGTAATAGAAATTTCTTAACTTGTATTAAAAAATTTATATCAAAATGAGTTATCAGTAGCTAACCTAAATGTCACAAACAGATGGTTTTGACAATTGGTCTTCTATGTATAAAAAACCTTAACATTTATGAAAACAAGGACAAAGCTATTTAGAAATGATCTTAAGTTGACTTCTTCCTTTTGGATAAATTACAAAATTGATAAAGCTGTCTTTCTTTAAAAACAAAACAACCCAAACCTATTATTGTCAAAGA